CTCCAGGCTGAAGAGACCCAGTTCCCTCAGCCACCAACCTTGGGGCCCTGCGCTGCACTGGCTCCAACCTGGCTATATCCTTCCTGTAATGAGGGGCCCAAAACTGAGCACAAGACTCCAGTTGCGGGTGCACCAGAGTCATATAGCGTGGTGGTAATACCTCTCTCGATCTAGAAGCCACACTTCCGGCTATGCAACCAAGGGTGGCGCTCGCCCTCTTGGCCACCGCATTTCATACTGTAGTTAATGGATGCTGTTTCTACTGCTGTTATTTTGTAATACTAAGTTTTAGATTATAATGGATACTTTAGTTATTACAATGCTGAGTTGATCTACTTAGTTGAAAAAGGAATAGTTCAGCAAAGTGTGTTTTGCTAAAGGAGATTGTGCTCTTGCTAAAGGAGATTGAAGCCTGAGTTGCAGCCATGGTTCCATATCCCCTGTGCCAGTGTAATTTCACTCTAGACTACAGGCTATTTTATTGTAGCCTGTTGGCTAAAATCTGCCTGGGCAAAGGGCTTGCTTGTGTTCTTTTAAGGTCACATGCAGAATGAAAAGGTTTTTTTGTGGGGGGTGGGCTTTGCAGGAGGCATGCAAATGGTTTTCTCACTTTTGTGTTTGGGATGCTTCTCTAAGCATTGAATTTCTTCTGTGGTATTCAGGGTGAGGAAGGCCCTCCCAGTCTGGAATATATACAGGCCAAGGACTTGTTCCCCCACAAAGAGCTGATTAAAGAAGAAGAGTCTTTACAGGTAAGCATTCTGGAGGAACCTAGAGTGAATAGTGCAAAACTGGAAGGCGAGGAGTTGCGGTGGAGGTGCAAAGGATGTTTTCTTCCAGATGCCAAGTGGCCGAGGATTCTGGCCTGCGAGTACCCACAGTGACATGGTAGCCATCCAGGTGCTGTTCAGAGCTCTGTCGGTGATGGTGCCTTCCCTGGCTTCTCCAGTCTGGCTAAGCTCTCACTCCCTTTCAGAGCTGCGCTGCAGTTCTGCCAACTTGAGATACCAATTACTATTGAGGATGTGTTTTCCCTGTGAGATACTGGAGGCTGTGAGGAAGAGGCAGTTAAATGCCAGGGAAGGAACCGAAAACTGAGAATGTCAGCTTGGGTTTGATACTTACATGCATACCTGAGCTAGTCATGGCAGTGAACTTGGGCAGTGAGCAGCAAGGATAAAAAGCCCTTTGAACGTTGCAGAGCTGGCTGGCTGACGATACAGTCATCTCTCTCAGCTTGGCTGCCCAGCTGGGATGGGCTGGGCGATGTGGTTTCTTAATGGTTGTTATCACTTTAAAAGCCATGTTGGCCCTACAGCTCCAGGAATGGAAAAGTAAAATGAGAGAAATCATATCACATACAGCCAAGTAGCTTTAGAATTAGGTGGAATCAAACTTTTGGGTTACACTGATTTTTGTCGATTCAAAGAAAGATGGAATGGCTACCAAGCAAGACAGGCATTTGTCCAACCTTGCCTTGTTACCGCATTTTAACTCCTTAAAACAGCTTTTCCTCTTTTTGCACCCAGCTGCCAGGGGGTCAGCTTGCCTTTGCTTCCTTGTGTTTATTAAAAAATGTTTTAGAAATTCACACATGGATTCAGTTAATTTACCTTAGAATATCCTAGTAGTATGTTTAGTATCTTTCGTATGAAAGGGGAGTTTGCCTTTTGGGCTGTAGGTAATGAGTGAGTACTACTGGCTTGGGACCAGGTCACCCCCTGCATCTAAGCAAGGACCATATAATGAAAATGTCACAGGAACATGGTATCTACAGATGCACTAAATCACCACTTGCTGGCTTATTTCTTATATGTTGGTTTAAAAGGGAGGGGTGGGTAGAAATATCAGCTGGCCATCGCTTACTGGGAACGAGGCCTCCCCCCCCCCCCCCGGTAAGAGGCCTCCCCCCCCGTAAGACACACTGTCATCCTCCCTCCCTCCTTTGTGCCATATGCTTGCTCAGTCTGATTTGAGAAGGATTGTGATGACTTCCTGGTTTCGGCATGGCAGGATTAAACCTTTTGGGGACTGCATTTTTAGTATATCTTTAGGTTTGACTTGATTTACTTCATGGTGGGCTCTGTGTGTGTTTAATTTTGTAGAACTCTTCTGGGCTTCCCAATGTTAAATATAAACAAGTAAAATAGAGAGAAATGGTATCTAGACTTGGGGCTGATGAGCCTGTGGGATTAGCATATGTATATTTGCTCCTAGTTCGGCATCTTGATTAAGAACGGAGATCTTGGAAAAAAGCTTCCTAGGAAGTGCCTTGGAGATCTCTCCCATTTTTGCTGTGTCAGTGTCGCCATGGAGAGTTGTAACAAGGCAGAAAGCCACCCTGGGCGTTCTTATGTACTTTTTTTTGGTTTTCCCTCCTCCAGAGAGTAAAAGCATGCTTCATAGATCCTCAACATTGCTTTAGAGATGTTGGCCAGTCTGCTCTAGATTTTTCCCCTTTTGTTTTAAACCCATCAGAATTTCCAGGACAAAGCAAAGCAGTGCAGTGTTTCTTGGGAGGCCAGCAGCAAAACTGCATTTCAAAAAGCACGTCTCTCCAGTTCTGTGGGAATTTTACATCCCCTGCACAATTTCACACAAACCTGGAGGTGTTAAGCATTCCAGTTAAACCTGCCCCCCCCCCCAAAAATTAAAAGCAGATCTATTTTTAAACAGTAAGAGACATCCCTTAGATGTTCCAGCAGGAAAAAGCAAACCAGCTGTAGCATTTCAGCTGAAATGCAGTGAAGACTGTGACAGGCAAACACTTTCAAAGAATGAATTTAAAGTATCCTCTGAGAGTAACTTCTCATCTGTAGAAGAAGAAAAGAAACAGTTTAAAATGTGGGTGTGTGGTATGATATTTATAAAGTGCACATTGTGCTGAAGCAGGGAGACAGCTGAAGATAACTAATAATGTGCACCCTTATTTGGCCCCAGCTGGTCATGTTAGGAACATGGTATGCCTTCTACTGAATCACGTTATTGGTTTTGAATGGTCCCAGCGTGCCTACAGACACTTCTTTTGACATATTCCAGCCACCCTGCCTTTTTTGAATTTTGTTTTATTTTTAAATAGCTAAAACAACCTCACACCCCTTGGAGGTTAGCATGTGGCAAAACATATGTATTTATTTAGTAGTACTGTCTTACAGCACCATCTTTATTTGGGTTCAGGGGAGTGGTTTTATTTTCTGGAGCTCAAACTCCACTCCTGCTTTGTACCAAGTACTCTTGGGTCAGTTGCTTTTCTCTTCTCAGCACCTCTTTTCCTGGGAAGTAAGTCTTAGGTGACCATTCATGACCATCATGGCAGCCATTTTGAGAGAGAGCCCATGGCACTCCCTTAAAATGTGTCCGTTGTCCTCAAATGTTTGACTTTACCGGTATTGTCTGCCTTGACTGACCACAGCTCTGTAGGGCTTCACATGGGATTCTTTCCCAGACTTACCTAGAGATGTTGCCAGACATAAAACTTGGAGCTTTCTGGAAACTCTGCCACGGAGGTGCAGCCCTTCCTAATCTAGCTACTAATTTGCAGTTTGTCTGAGGATGTGGAACCTCCCAGTATTTGTGCCATTTCTGAATCACTGCTGCTGTAGGAAGTGAAACATTGGTCTCCCCAGGAATATGGAAAGGAACTGCAGTTTAAATGCAGGCATCACTTAATACAAATTAGGAAAAACCCCACTTTGGCTACTCCATGATTCCATCTGTATTTTTCTTTTATTTGCCTAGAAGTATTAATTTCTTCTATTAAATTTTATCTGGTTTCGTTGCATTAATTTTAGTGGCCTATGACCATAGCAAAGTATTATTCTGTTCTAATATTTCTTCACTTTAAAGTATGTGGGAGCCTTCTGCCCATGTGTGAATTTGAAGAGCTTCTTTTAAAAGTGAGGTAGAAAGGAAGGCACACCCTGGCAAGGGATTCAGTGGACGCCATCATTTCTGTGTACTTCTTGGTATCTTATTCCCATGACAGAATTCTAGCTGTATGATGGACTGTCACCAGAATATTCAAGGCTGGCTCCTGGACCTTTTCATGTCTTAGTTTGCCTGATCCCTGCCCACCTCCTCCCAAGTCAAAGCTTTCGGTCTCTGAGGATGAGTCTTAGGTGTAGGCTTTGGGCTGCATGGTGATTCTTTTTTCATGCTTTCTGGGCCGGGTTCTCTGGTGACCACATGGGCCATCGGCCTGCCTGGACCTTGATTAGTCAGCTGTGTTAATGGTGACAGTTTCCCCCTTCTAGGTGCCGTTTACTGTGCTGCAGGGAGAAGGAGTGGAATACCTGGGCCGTGCGAGCGACGCCATCATTGCCATCTCCAACTACCGGCTTCATATCAAGTTTAAGGACTCTGTAATTAATGTAGGTCTTGGCTCTACATTAGGTGCTTGGCTTTGGCGGAGTCTGCAGATTGCGGTGTCAGGATTTTGTTTTCCTCTGTATGAACCTTGGAGTGGCGGCCGGAGGAGCCAGAGGGCTATTAGCCTGTCCTTCCTCCGATTCTGTATATTTATTATTTATTTATTTAGACGGCTTCTATGCCGCCCCCTTCGCCTAAGCCTCGGGGCGGCTTACAATCATTAAAATCCCACATATAAATACAAAAATACATAGAATACATAAAATACATAAAATAGCAGAAACAGCCTGGTCAGTTTAAAATCAATAAATAAACCTTAACAATTAAAATAATGTTTAAATAAAAAGGTCTTGGCCTGGTGCCGAAAAGCAAATAACGACAGCGCCAGGTGGACCTCTCTGGGGAGCGCGTTCCATATGTGGGGCGCCACCGCAGAGAAGGCCCTCCTCCGAGTACTCACCCTCCTAATATCCTTCACGGAGGGCTCCCAGAGAAGGGCCTCTGCCGCTGATCTCAAGGGGCGGGAGGGCATATATGGACACAGGCCCTCCTTTAGGTAACCAACTTTAGGTATAGGAATGTCCTCCCACCCTCCCTGCCCTGTTGTATCCCTGACCAACCTACTCAGTACAGACTTCTTTCAGAAAAAGAGCTGCTCATCATTCAAGCATGAAAGACAGTAGCCTGCACAGATTCCAAAAGAGAGAACTGCCAATCTGACATTTGGGTTCCCTCTGAAGAACAAATTGCCTCTGTGGAGCCAGCCTAGGGGTGTGTAAAGAATCTGAAAGTGGGGTGAAAAGTCAGGGAATTTTCACAATTCATCCCCCTGGATTCTGGTTACTTAGCCCTGTGCTGTCAGCAACTCACTATGATGTGAATTGAGCCAGCTGATGGACTTCCGTCTCTAAAGCAGGGCGTATTTTGCACTTTTTTAAAAACACTCAGGAACTTGCACAATTGGAGCAGTTTGTGTAACATGATAATTACATAATTAGTGCATTGTGAATGTTATACACAAATTGGAACCTGAAAAGAACAGGGATCTGGCATAATTTTATGTAGATTTGCTAAATTCACTTGCTTTTTGGGGATTGATTTGCAGAAATCTTGCAAAATATGATTTACACAATTTGCACAAAGTTACACAAATAGCAAAAATAGTGTTATTTGTGAAAATTTCCCATGTGGTTAAAAATCACAAGCTATGGTCTCCAACTTGGAGACCTTACACAGTCCATTTCAAGCCATCAGGTCAGAAGCAAGTAGTTGGAGCAGGTCCCTTCCCAGCAGATCAAAGTGAAAGGCTTTTAACTACAGTCCATTGCTGAGTTTGGCTGGCCAACTGGAGCTGATTATGTAATACAGGTGAGTAATGTAATCATTGTTAAAAAGAAGTAGCCATTGAGTTAAGGATCTCTCTAATTGTGGAGTGAGATCTTGTCCATACCCTGAGTAGATGCTAAATCAAATTCCTATCCTTTTTTCACCTTCACACAAGGTTGCCTGCACCCTCAGTAAAGTTCATGCTGCTTGTGGGCCAGGCAAAGGAAATTCTGGATATTACTTAATTGGTAACTTGATGTTGAACCAGTGGGTTGATAAAATCCACGCTCCTCCTACTCTGACCCTCCTTGCTCTGGAGTGTCTCTCCCCAAACCAAAGGTGGTATGGTTCTTACCTGCGACTTGGCTCAGCATCAGCATCATCTCTATACCACCCATAGCCAAAGCTCTCTGGGAAGTTTATAACTAACTATGAAAGCAATAACAGGCAATAGATAAAAGCATTAAGAATTTAAAAAATTAATTTAGAATAACATGAAAGAGTATTAAAAGACAATGAAGGCAATGTAAAAAGACCTGGCCAAGAGTAAAAGAAAGGCACCTGGCTAATCGTGTCAGGCTCCTGAATGATCAGGGAGGTCTTGAAGGGCCTCCACACAGAGGGCTGTCTTAACCTGGTGCCAGAAAGATGCCAAATTTGGCCCCAGGCAGGACACAGCAGGGAGGTAGTTCCAAAGATGGGGAACTACCACCCCCCCCCACCAGTTGTCACCATCTGAGCCTCTCGAGGGGTTGGCACCCAGAGGCAAGCCCTGGAGGCTGAGCATAGTGTCCAGGTAGATTGGCAAATGACAACATCATATAGCACATTTAGGAAATGAATTATACCAGTTGCTTTATGGATCAGTACCAGTTTAGTCCATTTTTCAAACCAGGGGATTGGCACAAGATTCCACTTCTAATATCCCACCAATCTGGTGCATCACACCTTAAGCTTTATAGCATTGCTGTGGAGACCCTTGCAGCTCAGTGGCATTCCAGCTAAGCGCTCTGACCCCACCCCTTCTTCCAGTTTGGATTCGGAGTCTGAAACCTCCCATCTTTTGTGAGAAGCCAGCAGGAACCCCATCAAGCTCAAACTCGGGGACTTCCAGGACGTAGCATGTTCCAAGCTAGGCTCCTTGTTTGCACGGTGCTTATGGGAACCACCATGGTTCCTGGAGCCTTGCTGCCTTTTGCTGTTACCTATGCAGAGAAGTCTGGACGAGCATGCTGGGGGAGATGGATTGTGTGTCCTCTGTGCTATATTGCAAAATAAGACTCCCTGCCTTGCCAAGAAATGCACATTTCTTCTGCTCTTCATCATTCCTGTCTAGCCATATACAGATCAGTTCATTTCCAGAGTGGAGGAGGAGACATAGGCATTTAGGAGTTCAGGCAAGCCATCTACAGCTGATCTAACATTTACTTCAGCCGCCTTTTCTTTAGGAAGGGGGAGTTAACAGCTCCTCAGCTCCACTCCTGTCTCCCTTAGTTCACTAATGAATTCCTTTCCCCATTCAAACTGAGCTTTTGCCCACATCTTCCACTTGTGAACCTGTTTTCATGCACCCTTTTCAGGTTTGGTGTTCGTAACACTTGAAGTGGGGCAGGCCAGGCATCAGGTCGAGTGTCGGCCCACCTGTTAACACATGCCCTGCTTCTTTTTTCAGGTGCCTTTGAGAATGATGGAAAGTGTGGAGAGCCGAGACATGTTTCAGCTGCATATTGTCTGCAAAGATTCCAAGATAGTCAGGTAAATAGAAACAAAGAAACAGAGCGAGTCCGAAGGGGTCTCCCGGGCCATCTAGTCTAACCACCAGCTCCAGCCAGCTCCACTCACAACATGCCCACCATGTGCATGTCTGGCCTATCCTTGAACACCCTCACCGATGGGACCTCAACCACCTCCCGTGGAAGCCCTTTTCCATACCCTCGGGGTCCTAACTGTCAGGAAGTGCTTCCTGGCGTCTAAATGCAACCTGGGTTTCCTGAGCTTCACTCTGTTGGAACGCGTCCTACCCTTCTCTGCAGGGGAGAACAGGTCTCTACCTACCTTTGTGTGACACCCGCTCACATACCTGTATGTTGCCAACAGATCCCCTCTGAGTCTCCTCTTCTCCAGGCTGAAGAGACCCAGTTCCCTCAGTCTCGCCTCATACGGCTTCCCCTGCAAACCGGCCACCCACCTTGTGGCCCTACGCTGCACTGACTCCAACTTGGCTATATCCTTCCGGTGATGAGGGGCCCAAAACTGAGCACAATACTCCAGTTGCAGGCGCACCAGAGTCGTGTAGAGTGGTAGTAATACCTCTCTTGATCTAGAAGCCACACTTCTGGCTGTGCAACCAAGGGTGGCGCTCGCCCTCTTGGCCACCGCATCACACTGCTGGCTCATGTTCAGCCTGCAGCCGACCAGCACCCCGAGGTCCCTTTCACAAGTGCTGCTCTCCAGCCACTTGTCCCCTAACCTGCACTTATGACACCCATTCCTGTGCCCCAAGTGCAAGACCTTGCACTTATCCACGTTGAATGCCATCCTGTTGTCTCCTGCCCACTTCCATAGTCTGTCCAGATCCTTCTGGATCTGGAGTACCTGCTCCTCAGTTGTGGCCACTGCTCCAGTTTTAGTATCGTCTGTGAATTTGATCAGCAGACTGTTCATCCCTTCTCCCATGTCATTGATGAAAAGATTAAACAGGATCGGCCCCAGGACAGAGCCCTGGGGGACCCCATTTGTCACTGGGCACCATCCCGACGTTTCCCCACTAATGGTTACCCTCTGCTTCTCAGTAGCACCTGTCTCAGTGCAGCCCAGCCCACTTACTTGGGGTTAGCAACCTGGTGCCCTCCAGGTGCCTGGGAATGTAACCTTCATCAGCCCTGACTGTGGACCATGCTGAGAGGAGCTGCTGTCCAGAGTGCCCAGAGGCTGTTGGGTTGCCGAACCCTGGCACTGGCAGTAGAGTCTGTGGCCCAGTACTTTTCCTCCACAAAGAAGAGCTAGAGTAAGCTAGGGCTTGAATATATGGGGCATTTGTCATGTATTTGCTATTCCCTATTCACAATTGGTTGCTGCCTCTTTGGGCAACACCGTGACCCTCCCCTTTCACTTTTCTAAGCTATACTTGCCACAGGATTCTTTAGAGCAGGCAAATGAGGTGAAAATGAAGGAAAGTGTAATTTGCTGTTGTGTATTTGTGCCATTTTGCTACAGTGCTGTCCCATCCAGAGATTATGTGGCAGGAAAGAAAATGCTCTTTATGAGTAGCCTTATATAAAATGCTTAGTTCTGCAACTTTCCTCCAACTGCAGGCAGCCTGAGGCAAGCTCACAAGCATGACCATGAAGGCACCCCCCATGTTTTTTGCCCCCTCATCATCTGTTATGTACCGGTAGATTATCTCTGTACAACAGCTTCCCCCAGTCTGGTGCTCTCCAGTTGTGTTTGGCACAGCTGCCATCACTCCCTGGATAGCCACGGGTTAGAGAAGACCCTGTGCTGCATACACAAAGGTTCTGTTTCTGTCATGGTTTCAGTTTCTTCCAAGGATTTGTCACTCTTTTCTTGCTGGTTTTCTTCCTGTTAACAGTTCTTTTGCAAGCCATTTAAGCTCGTTTCAAACAATGTGCGTCCCTGGTGTCTTGATTCTTGCTGCCTCCCTTTCCACTCTAGGGTTCGTCCTTTTCCAGTCTTGCTTTTCTGGGCATTGCAGGGTATGCATGTCTGTATCTCTGCCCTGCAGGTGCCATTTCTCTACTTTCAAGCAATGCCAGGACTGGCTGAAAAGGCTGAGCCGTGCCATCGCTCGCCCCACCAAGCCAGAGGACTTGTTTGCATTCGCGTACCATGCCTGGTGCCTGGGGGTTTGCGCTGACGAAGAGGATCAGCACGCTCACCTCTGCCGCCCAGGTGAGTCCCTGGTCTCGTACTCCAGCCTCTAGAAACCAAGGGGTTACAGGAAACCCTCAAGCAGCCCTGACATGGCTTCTCGCATATGTGCCTCCTTTCCTCGGCCACCCTGCCACTGTTGGTGGTGTCCTACGTAGTCTGCAGTTCTCTCCTCATTCTAAAATGGGGCTGGTGGGCAGTTCAGCAGAGGCTGAAATGCCTCTTTGCAGGCTTGATTACTGTCAGTAAGAGCTTTAAGGTAAAACGTGCTGTGGTGTTTTTTGTACTTCGGCTCCTTCCCCCTCCTTTGCCGTGAGCCTAGCTTACCACGGTGGCTCAGCCCCAGAGCTCCTCTGAAGGCATGTGGGCCTCGCGGGAAGAGGGCCTGAACCCCTGACTTGTTGGGCTGCCCTTTGCTAACCCCTTCCTTGCTGTCCTAGTCGAAGGATGGGCTGGATTTGTTGGCTCTGCATGCTCACTGTAGGTAACTCTTTGGCAGGAGACCATGTGAAATACCGGTTTGAGATGGAGCTGGCCCGGATGGGCTTCGACCTGCAGAACGTATGGAGGGTTTCTGACATCAACAAGAAATACAAGTGAGTCATCCGTTTGCTCGATCATTCTGGGAGAAGAAAAAAGATCATCCCCGGCACTGCACCTTCCATCTCTGGAGGCACCTGGCCAGCATCTGTTAGTGCCAGGCCAGGCCAGGCAAGGCCAGCAATGCAACCCCATGGCATTAATCTACAGTAGTAAAATATCTGTCATGCTGGCTCTGTGCATGTTTTTATGGGAGAAAATTTTCAAAATGCTTGATTCTAGCACTGTGTGTGGTCAGGGCCCCAGTATATTTCAGTACTGGCTAGATTTAAAAGGAAGAGCAGAATTATGGCCTTTGCTACATCAGTGCTATCAATTTGATTTTATTAATGAGTGTTTTGGCAAGAGGCAAATCAGTTGTGGAAACAACAGGGAAAGGATGAGACCTGGAGAGTAGTTATTCTTCTCTCTAATAGGAGGAAATAAGGGAGCATCTCCTGGATCATCATTGTGGGGGAGGCTAAACTTTGTCCCCTACCCTGGAGTTCAGGATCAGATTTGAACTGAAGCAGCTGGGATGTTTAGACTGATCTGGAGGCATTTGACTGTCTTCTTTGGTGCACCACAGTCAATAGAGATCCAGGCCCATGCATAAAAACAGACCTGCATTTGCTATTAATTTATGACCACATCTTCTTACTAGCTTACAGTTATCTTGTGATTAGTGAAGATCACCTGCCCCTTCTTTGTGATTGTAATCGGCTATTGCCCCCTTGCCCCTTTATTTGCAGCTGAATAGTCCATTCTGGAAAATTTCATCAGGGCTTCTCTGTGGTCCCTCACATGCATGACCTAGCAAGTTAAGAAGGTTTGAGCTCAGTTTCCTTTACTCTGGTCCCGCGGCCTGGCTCTGATCACCTCCCCACATCTTGTCCATCCCAGGTTGTGTACCAGCTACCCACAGAAACTTTTGGTTCCTGTCTGGATCACTGACAAAGAGCTGGAGAACGTGGCTTCTTTTCGGTCTTGGAAGAGGGTTCCAGTGGTTGTATACAGGTGCGCATCCCACCTCTCCGCCTGATAATGAACTGCCTTCTCTAACATGGCACCCTCCGTGTGTGTTGTACTGCAATTCCTATCATTCCCAGCCAGCAGTGCCAGTTCATGGAAGTTGCAGCCGCATACATCTGGAGGATAGCCTGTCAGGCAAGGCAAATTTTAAGTCAAAAGGCAAATTTTAATAGAAGCACAGAATGCTTGGTGCAGGACTCGGAACCATTCGCCTCAGAGACTTTATTTAATTAATTGATTTCTGTAGCCAGAACAGCATTGAATGCAGCAGCCGGCTGCTCCTGCTCATCACTCTGCATGGGCATTTTTCTGGGCACCCTTCAGTTCCTTTGCATTCTCAGGACAGGGGTCAACAAGACATTGCCCGCCCCCATTTATGTTGGACAGACTTTCTGTGGGCTCTGCAGCCCTGCCTCACCCATATGCCTTGCGACAGATTTTGGTCCCAAGGCCAGTGCAGACAGCAGGACCTGAGTTACCAAACTCTGCTGCTGACAGTTTCTAATCAGATTCGTTGTCGTATTTTTCGACAGCCCTTGCCCAAAAATGCCATCAGTACTAAGGATGCAGCTTCACCCTCGGAGGATATGAGTCACTTTGCCGGCTTGGTCCTTTGCATGGCCCAGTGTCTTGACCTCAGTGTGCAGCAACCAGCTCCAGTCTTGCCTGGGTTGAGGCTTTGTTCGTTAGTCTTCATCCTTGTTGTACATCAGCAGCCCCATCTGCTGAGGATGGAAAGGGAAAATGGAGTTTCAGGCCATCAGTGCGCTCCTCTGTTCTGCAGTGGCGACACCGACCTACCTCCAGAGCTTGCCAATGGCCCCTGTGTGTGATGCACAGTGACCATGAAGAAGAAAAGCGGGTTGCTTGCCTGTAATTGTAGTTCTTTTGGGTTGTCAGCTGCGCATTCACACAACCCATTGGCCATCCCTTCTTCAGTGTCAAGACTAACTATTTTCGTATATCTGTGCTCTCAATACTGACCTTAGTACCTATGTTCTATGATTCTATGAAAGAACTATAGTTACAGATAGCTGGCCTCTCTATCTTTGGTAAAGAAAATTTACTGAAAATATATTTTCTTTGTAAAGAAAATACAAAGCAAGCTGGAAATGGGTAGAGATCTGTTCTCCCCTGCAGAGGAAGGCAGGACATGCCCCAACGGAGCAAAGCTCAGGGAACCCAGGTTCCATTTGGATGCCAGGAAGCACTTCCTGACAGTCGGGACCCCGAGGTGTGGAATGGGCTTCCACGGGAGGTGGCTGAGGCCCCATCGGGGAGGGTGTTCAGAGATAGGCTGGACATGCACATGGTGGGCATGTCATGAGCGGAGCCGATTGGAGCTGGGGGTCAGACTAGATGGCCCGGGAGGCCCCTTGTGACTCGCTCTGCTTCTATGTTCTATGTTTCTGTGTTTCTACTTGGAGCCTGGGAAACACAGAACTGCTGCCCCCCCCCCACCCTCCCCCAGTCAAAAGAGCTTCTTTTCATTCGCGGTCTGTGTCTGGTGGATGGTAGGGCTTGTCCCCCGAATTGGCATCCGCATAGTGGCTTTCCCCAGCACATGGCACCTCCAGACGTGCTGGGCTCCTGCTGCTAATCCAGTACCTCAAGTAGAGTAGTCCGGCTTTTCCATGAGGAGAACAAGATGATTCAGCCGCTGTGGCTTCTGGAACCAGGGCTCTGGGATTCTGGGACTTCTCTTGCAGACACCAACGCAATGGGGCCGTGATTGCACGATGCAGCCAGCCCGAGATCAGCTGGTGGGGCTGGCGCAATGCAGATGACGAGTACCTGGTAACCTCCATAGCCAAAGCCTGTGCCTTGAACCCTGGACAAAGGCTGGCCGGGGGGACCCCTCATTCTGGGCTCAGTGACGGGAACGAGGCCTGTGATGCAGGATTTGGTAAGTAAGGTGTGCCCGCCCCCACTTCCCTTCCCTGATCTCACTGGTGGTGTCTGGAAGCATCTGCAGGAGGCTGTAGCCCCGTAACCTCCCCAGACTAGTCTCCTGGCGCACATGGGGACATCCAGCCATCAGACCTCTGCACATCAGTCCACAGGTGCCACACATTTCTTGGGGAAATACAGCTAGAAGCTCTTGGGAAGGGAAGGAAGATCTCGGAATGGCATTGGGCTGGGCACCTTTGCTCAGCCAAGTGAGTCACTGAGAGAGCAGGACTGCAAAACACAAGAGATGGTGAATCTTACTTTTTCCCCAGCCTGACTGAAATAGGAACCGTTGTGTGAGAATCGAGTACAAGGAGGAGGTTATAAGCCAACCTCTGATTCTCTAATCAAAAGTGGCTTATAGCCAGTGTGTGGCCATTAGTGCTGCCTCCAGTTTTGCTAATTCATAGAATTGGCACGTATGGGACACTGTAGCCCCGATGTGCCCGTGAAGCACAGCCACATGTGCCCTCTTGGTCCTTTGCTCCTGGGATCAGTTGCTGCCATTCTTGCTGCTTGAGCTGCTTTTTCTTGAATCCTGGATTGCAAGGTCGAAACTTTTAGATGCCGCATTACCTGTTGCTTGACTAGTGCATCCAAGAATTGCCATCCAAGATGGCAAAGGGTATTTTTGGATATCATTCCTACAATGAATGCAGTCATTTTAGAGAGCCAGTGTGGTGCAGTGGTTAAGAGCGTGGGACTGGGACTCGGGCCATCCGGGTTCGAGTCCCCGCTCTGCCATGGAGCCAACTGGGTGGCTTTGGGCCAGTCACAGACTCTCAGCCCTTCCTACCTCACAGGGTTGTTGTTGTGGGGATAAGATGGAGGAGGAGAACGATGTAAGCTGCCTTGAGCCCTTTGTCGGAAAAAGGCAGGCTATAAATCGGAAAATAAATAAATAAATAAATAAATTTTAGTGCCTTGGTTCAAGACCATGCTGCAGCCCTATCTGGAATTACGGCCTCACCCTGTTGTCTTCCAGTTGTTTTCAAGGGCAATTTTCATCAGTCCCACGCGAGTCCAGGGTGGAAGGCATTGCTCAGTATGCAAGAGCACATTCTGTGTGCACAGAAGATCCCTGAATTTATCCCAGCAGCATCTCCAGGTAGATCTGGGAATAGGTCTCGCCCGAAAACCTGAGGGGCCGTTGCTGGCAGCTCGGGTTGCCAGTGCTGGGCTGGGTGGGCCCAAGCAGCAGGGCAAATGGCAGCGGTTGAGAGGAGCAGAGGTCCAGGATGTCAGAGGGCACCTTGCTGGTCCGGCTGGTCCAGGCGGTCCAGTGCAGCTGGGACAGCAAAGAGATCCTTGTTGCATCCAGTTGTTGAGAGCCTGCTGGCAGTGCTGATAGTTGCCCCTTTCCCTGCGTGCCATTAGTTGATGGCCTCTAATCAGGACCCTGCCCTGTTTGCCCAGTGTAGCTTTTGGTTCAGCTCTTCCTCTGAATCCTGCCATGCCCAGTGCAATACCAGCACCTGCTCCAGAGGTGGGAAAACCCCGGCTGTCTCCTTCGCAGATTCTTCCCTGACAGCGTGCTCAAGTGTGGAGAGGTCTGCAACGCCTCAGAAGCTGCTCATCCTGGATGCCCGCTCTTACACTGCAGCAGTTGCCAACAGGGCCAAAGGAGGAGGCTGCGAGTGCGAAGGTACTGCAGCATTCTTTGCGCACTGGCATTGCGGCTGAACTCTTCGGTCTGTCTGGGGGTTTTCCGAAGAAATTGTTGGACGTAGCTCTTTGTTTTTGTTTTTGTTGTCAGCTTGTCAGGAAGGGTTTGTGGGAGGAAAGGGTCCTGTGCCATGGGAGGAATAGTTTAATCAAACTGAGATGCTGGATTACAAAAACTGCACGGCTGCCTTTCCAGAGAAAAAGTGAATGAATGGCCTAACGAATCTGGACATGCATTTATCCCCAGCCCTGCCAGGCACTGCAGGCCATCTTGCTCCGCGTTACTAGGTGGTTTCCACCAACACAGGCAGCAAGGCACACCCGCACAATACTGGACAGATTCCTCTGGGAGCACGTGCCCGCTGACCCTCTGCTGACCAGTCTCCTCTTGGGTTTGTTCCAGAGTATTACTCAAACTGTGAAGTCGTGTTCATGGGCATGGCCAACATCCATTCCATCCGGAACAGCTTTCAGTACTTGCGGGCAGTTTGCAGCCAGATGCCTGACCCCAGCAAGTAAGTCCTAGTCTGCATTCCAGGTTAGTTACAGGCTAGCGGAACTTCAGTCAAGTTTGGGAGGTTCACTCCTGGGGGCCCCTGAGAATGACTGGACTGGCTGCATCCTGCTTCTTCCTACTGCTCCATTTCAAAGGAAGTGAGGAGCTGGCTTGGGATCAGGACCTGTTCTGTTGAAGGGAGGGCCTTCCTCTCTAGCGCTGACATCCCCTCTGTTTTCTTGTAAGACTTTCGGCAGGATAAAAATTTATTATTTTACTTGCGGTCCAGCTGTCTGCCCAAAAAATGACTCTGAGGGCAGCTTATAGAAGCAATTAAAATGAATTGCAGCAATTCAGTAAAATGCAATAAAACATGAGCATTACCAAAAAAAATGTGATGAGAAAGGCACCCCGTGAGCCTAAAACCTTTTTGAACAAAGGAGGTTTTGCCTGCCAGCAGTAGAATAAAAGATAAGGAGCAAACTTGGCCTCCCTCAGCAGGGGAGGAATCATCAAGAAGGCCCTTTCCTGCATCGTGACCAAATGTGCTTCTGAAAGTTTGGTACAGGGGAAAGGTGGACAAGGTTAGAGGTTTTCTTCCTCCCACATAGCCCTGGAACCCAGCAGCAAGGGAAGAAATGCAGTTGAGGGCCTCCCACCTCAGCCTGCATCAGACTTCTCCAACCTGTTGCCCTCCAGATGCGTTCAGTGGCCATGCTGGCTGTGAAAGATGGAATTTGCTGCTCAATGCATCTCAAGGACATCCAAGTAAAGAAGACGAAGTGAGATAAATCCAGTGAGAATGTCTCCATGGTAGACGAGTTGTATTTCTGTATATAAAAACTTCATTACCTGTGAATATAGTGTAGATTTCAGTAGGAACCTTATGTGATTGTTGTTGTTATTAACAACAATAATTAGATTTCTGTTCCACCCATAGCTGAAGCTCTTCGGGTGGCCCACAACATATAAGTAATCCATCCAGATTTCAAGCAGGCCTGACCCTGCTAAGCTTTCAAGATTAGCCAGGGTCAGGCTGTATGCTGGCTGGGGATAATGGAGGTTGCCCAACAGCCCTGACAGGCACAGCCTGAGAAAGGCTGCTCTGTACTGTTTTCTTTCTAGCAGGAGTTGGGTTTCCAACTCCAAAAAGAGTGAGTGGCTCATGGCCATGTTGGCCTGTGCCCGCAGCACGAGGGGATAATGGGAGTTCTGAAAGACCGTGGCTCGCTCAGCGGACGCCGTGGAGCAGTCCGGTAAGGATAACCCCTCCCCTTTCCTGTGTGCCTTCAGCTGGCTGTCTGCTCTGGAGAGCACCAAGTGGCTGCAGCACCTCTCCATCATGCTGAAGGCAGCTGTGCTGGTCTCCACCGCCGTTGGCCGGGAAGGGCGCCCCGTGCTGGTTCACTGCTCCGACGGCTGGGACCGGACCCCGCAGATCGTCGCCCTGGCCAAGATCCTTCTGGACCCCTACTACAGGACAATGGAGGTACAAAGCCTCGCCGGTGTAGCAACCCTTGTGTGAAAGAACAGCATCTCTCTGTCTCTCGTTTCATTTCTGCATCGCTCCGTAGCTGAAGCTCTCTGGGCGGTTTACAACGGTAGCTAAAACATGGCAATAAACTTTGGAGTCAAATAACATAAAATTGTATCGAAGAAACATTTAAAAGTTCAAATGATTGGACCTGAGTGGTTGAGTGGGGAATTTTGTTTGCTTTCGTTCCTTTGCAGAAGTGCCCAAAATAAGACTGAGCAAAAACTGTCTTCATGTTTTTCCCTGCTTCCTCTTTTTGTGGTTGAGCTAAGAAAATGTAATAGGAGACAGCAAGCTTTCACCTTGAGGCCTCTTCAGTACCTTAAAACAAGCCTGTACCATCCTGTGAAATGAACATGCAGGTCCTATTTATTTTGACAGTTCACTTAGTGGAAGAGAAGGGCTTGATCGAACAAACTGTAGTTTTTATTCAGTGTGCATGGCACATTGGAACTGGGGCGGGGTGGGCAGCCTGCAGTCCTAGGCCCACGTTGATGGGGCTGTAGTCTGATTTCAAAAGCCCGAGCAAACTTCTGGCAAGAGTGATCTGTTCCTATCCTGTCAGCCTTCTAAGTGGGATTGAAGAGGAACAAGGAAAGAGTAGGCGAAAAAGGCTGTGACAGAAAGAGGGAGGGAGGAAGCAAGCCCTGGCTGCCTCTGCCCATGGTTGAAGTGTAGTCCTGTAAAAATAGGCAGGGTCCAGTCCCACAAATAGTGTTAGGTTTAAAATGGGGGGAAGATACTCGTAAATGTTGGGAGAGAGTAGTGATGATAGTGAGACATAAAAGCAAGGAAAGGCATTTGTCTGAACTTAAGCTTGGTTACAGCTAGGAAGGCATACTTCAGGAGCTAAGTGAAGGGTGCTTCCAGTTAGAGTACGTCGCACTGAGATGGGAAGGTTTCACTCTTTTCTTCCTTAATGGATGCTCCCCAGTAAGAAAAAAGGAAGACTTTGGAATTAAAATGGAAACAATGGCAGTGGGCAAGCAAAGAATGAAGGTTCTTTGACCTTGTTATTTAGGCCTCCCTGTAAAATTCCATGGCTGAGGCAGGGCCCAAAGCACATTAAAAGTGTCTGCAGGAAGCAGCCAGAGGTCTTGCAGAAAGGGTGCGTTTTGAGGAGTTCCAAGCGTACACATAGCAGCAAGGCTGACCCAAGAAGTGCTGATGGTTTGCACTTTCCTTTCTCACCAGGGTTTCCAGGTGCTGGTTGAATCTGACTGGTTGGACTTTGGCCATAAGTTTGGGGACCGCTGTGGACATCAGGAGAAAGCTGAGGATCAGACTGAGCAGTGCCCCGTGTTTCTGCAGTGGCTTGATTCCGTCCACCAGCTGCAGAAGCAGTTCCCTTGCCTTTTTGAATTCAACGAAGCTTTCTTGGTGAGAGCAAACCTCCAGCAGAGATGCATCTGGGCAAACCCAAGTTTGATAAGCATTTACCACAAGCCTCCCTTTCCAATCGGAGAGCATGGGCAACACATGGCAGCTTCATTCACAGAATAAATCAGGACTAGTGTGGTACCACTTTTCACTTTTATTCTCCTTGCCGCTGGTGCTTCAGTGGGCCTCTGCTGGTTGTGCAGATCAACCTTGCAGTGTGTTATTTGTCTGTCTAGAGAGCCAGCGTGGTGTAGTGGTTCGGAGCATGGAACTCAGGTGATCTGGGCTGTGGCCCTTGCTTAGCCATGGAGCCCACTGGGGGCTTTGGGCCAGGCACAGATTCCCAGTCCAGCTTACCTCACAGAGAATGAGGAGGAGATTGATGCAAGCTGCTTTGAGTTCTTTAAAAAAAGAAAAAGGTGGGATAAAAATCTGATAAATAAATGCATATGTATTCCTTTCGGCTCACACAAAATCATCTGAAAAAAGCAGATTTGTCCTTGTGGATAATGGGAACATCTGCAAAAAAATGATGGGCCACAGTTGCCTGGCCTGTTTTACTTTTCTCTGCACAAACAGAGGTGCATTCAGTCCCACTTTGCGTGAAGTCAAACTCCTTGGAAGTTCCCAGCTGAGCCACTTGTGAAAGACTTATGAATTCATGCCTGTTTGGGAGCAGCAAAACAAATTCCTGTGTTTGGATGTTGTGATAGCTTGACATCTCCTGATTAGTTTTGTTTGGTGAAGCAGGAGCTAAGGGGCTTGATCATGGTAAATTAGAATAAGCCGAGTTAGCCTTACATGTGAATGTGCCAAATAGGTGGGTTACAGATGTGTTACAGAGCATTTAGCTCTCTTCTAAGAATTTTGTAAGTGCAGTGCAAAATTGGATCTCTCCGTGTATTACAGTTTCTCTCTCTCTTCATGCAACATGTTTTGGCTTCCTCTTGGTAGTAAACAGGTGACCTGTCCAATAATTAATGTGGACAGCAGTCATCCTGAACACTGAAAGTGTGAATTCAAAAGGCCTATGGATTTTCACATTCAGGAAACTTCTGGACTTACCATAAGCATCAATTTCTCTTTATGTATTTACTTATTTTAGAGGTTATCATAGCAAATACTGTATTTTAAAACCAGAAATATAAGACTGATTCTGCTCAGACAGAGCTCCTGTTAAAGTTGACCCACAGTCCTTAATGTGTTTTCCTTTCTGCTGTAGGTGAAGTTGGTGCAACACACCTACTCCTGCCTTTACGGGACCTTCCTCGGTAACAGCCCCTGTGAGCGGGAGACACACAACATTGCCAAGCGCACTTGCTCGGTCTGGTCCCTGCTGAGAGCTGGCAACAAGAATTTCCACAATCTGCTCTATGTGCCAGGGAACGAGCAGGTGAGCGGGAGTCCTGCATGCTCCAGGCCTGGAGGAGGAGAAGTGAAAGGCTTTCTGCCTGTTCCTGACTCTCTGTCATTTTCCTGGGCAGGTGCTTCATCCAGTGTGCCACGTGCGGGCGCTGCACCTCTGGACAGCTGTGTATCTGCCAGCATCGTCCCCATGCCCTCTGGGAGAAGAGGGCATGCACCTGTACTTGCCTTCTGGATTGCAAAGCCAGGAGTTTGGCAGCACATCTCTTGACAGGTGGGGAATTGTGCAGGGCTAGAATTGCTAAAGACACCTGCTTTCTTTGTTTCATCAGGGCCTGTGTCCACGGGGCGCCCCTAGACTTCTCCATGGTCATACCCGGCCTCTATGGATTATATTGGCACTTGTGCAAGAGTAGCTTTGGGTGGGTTGGGTCCAGTCATGCTTTTGCTTCCATTATTGATCCATTTCTGTTTTCTGTCTATTCCCCCATTCTATGAACCTGGGAAGAGTCAAATGTAAATTTCACCATTTACTGAGGGGACAGTCTGACACTTTAATCCAACAGGTCCGGAAAGCATGCCTCCACTTATGCAAGGATTACTTGCATGTTTGCATAAAAATAGCTTTGGGGAAAGGGCTTCATAAGGTACCTTTTGAAATGTCAAGTGCGTCATATGGACTGGATGTCTCTTCTTCACGTGCTTCCTGATACACAGGTGAACCTTGACGTTCACGGGTCTAACTTTCACAGATTTGATGATTTGTGAGTTTGCCATCAATATTCAAATGGGATTTTTGAGAGTTTTGCAGCCTACTGCAGGAAATAACCCCAGTTGCAATGCATGGCTGTGAAAGCTGGAGCATAAAGAAGGCTGAGCGCCGAAGAATTGAGGCCTTTGAATTGCGGTGCTGGAGGAGACGCCTGCGAGTCCCTTGGACCGCAAGGCGATCAGACCGGTCAGTCCTAGAGGAGATCAGCCCTGACTGCTCTTTGGAAGGCCAGATGCTGAAGATGAAGCTCAAATACTTTGGCCACCTAATGAGAAGGAAGGACTCCCTGGAGAAGAGCCTGATGCTGGGAACAATAGATGGCAGAAGAAGGAAAAGGGGACGGCAGAGGATGAGGTGGCTGGATGGGGTCACTGAGGCAGTTGGTGTGAGCTTGAGTGGACTCCGGGCGATGGTGGAGGGCAGGAAGGCCTGGAGGAGTGTTGTCCATGGGGTCGCGATGGGTCGGACACGACTTCGCAACTAACAACAACAAGAAGCAGGAAATAACAATGCACATAGATTAGGAAATATATGGGGATTTTTCTAAAACGTACGTCCTGGTCACTTGCTCCACACATTATTACCCCATATATTGACAGATAAGATGATCTTTCAAACCAAAAATAGCAAAGCAAAAATTGGGGGTCATCTTATATGCTGGTATATACTGTATATCAAGAAAAAAGAAAGGGAAATTTGTGAAGCCATTGCTGCAGCTATACCAGTGGACACAAACACACACAGGCGCATGCACACACGCACGGGTGGGGACCGGGGGTGCATATGGTCACAATATCAAGAGTTGAGGTTTGGGTTTTTCCACTTTTGTGGGAGTCCTGCACCCTTAGTCCATGTGAATTGGAGGGCCCACTGTAATCTGTTTTATGTGATTACTTCTGCAATCTCCTCTACATGCCTGGTACCGAGACGAAGTAAAAAATGCTTTCCTGTTCCACCCTGATTGCAAAGGGCTGAGCATTTGTGTCTAGGAAAAAGTACTAGAATTTGTTAGTCCTGTTAACTAACAGAAAGGAGAGAGAAAGACCAGGTTCTCACAACACTAAGCAACAGTGGGGGTTTTTTAACTTTCCTGGCGTGTCATATCATCCAAACCCTCTTACACTATTTCAGTGGCGCTGCTCCTCTCCACAGTGCCACCCACCAGACTTCACCTGTACACCTTTGTCTGAGCATGTATCAGGCACCTTGTCCTGCTCAAGCAGTCCCCTCTGGAGCAGGAGGGGAGGGTGCCTGGCCAGCTCCTCGCGCTCTCTGCTTCACTCCAAGGCCTGAACTGTTGGTGCAGTGGAGATGCTTGGCAGCTGCAGCAAGCTGAGTTCTGCTTGCAGCAGTGGCTGTCAAAGTGAGGAACTTCATTCCTCCCCGTGATGCCACCTGGCATATCACCTGGAGGACTGAGAGGATGAAAATGGCAGACTGGACAGTGGCTACTATGATGCGTCTGATTGTCCCTCAGGCACATCCATGCAAAAAACCATGCGCAGTAGAAGCGGCACAGTATGGCTTACTGTGATGCGTAGAACTGGCCAGAGTGGCAGAGAGAGGGGGGCAGACAGACATTTCCTGTCTCAGAACCTGTCAAGGTGTCTAAAGGGCATGTGTTCTTTTTCTGATGCCTAAACAATCTTTGGTGGCTGCAGGTTACCAAAGACAAGATCCATGGATGACCTTCTCTCGGCTTGTGATCCTGGCAGCCTGCTGATTCGCACATCGAGTGATCCAAATCTGAACAACCACTGCCAGGATGTCCGGGTGGGCTTGGAACCCAGGCACCCCAGTGCTGAGGAGTCGGTGCTGGGCAAAGACAGCACAGCAGAGGAGCCACCGCCGGGGTGGGAGTGGCGGCAGCAGCAAGAACACCACCCCCTGCAAGTTGACGGGGGCGGCGGTGGCAGCTCTGACGGTCACGGGGCTGATCAGCCACAGGCACTCCAAGGCCGCAGCCTGTCTCAGCAATTCAGTGGCCCATCTCCTGAGTCCGGAGTGCTAAGCAAAGCAAATCCAGGAGCAGCGGAAGACTCCTGCCCAGCTGCAGATGCTTCTGGGCAAAAGAAGCCCTCCAGGGATTCGACACAAACAGAAGAGCCATTTGAAAAACCTCCCTGCAGTTTTGTGAAAGAGGTTGGTCCAGAATCCAGTGGCGTCTGGGACCTTGTAGAACCGTGCCACCCAGAGACCCTCCTCCAGCCGCCAGCGGTTGCCCCCAGTTGGAACCCATCTGCTCCCGGTGCCCCGAAGCAGGACCCTGCAGGGTGCCGAGGTGAAGAGGTGGATGGCCGAAAAGGCAGCATCAGGTGTGGAGAGGAGGAAGCCAGCCGGGCAGGGAAGGCGCCGCCAGAGTGGTGGCGAAAGGGAATTTCTCAAAGCCAGATGAGTGAGTTCTCTCTTCTAGGAACAAACTGGGACAGTTTCCAGGGGCTGGGGGCTTCGCTTCCTGGGAGTGACGTGGGTCCCCAGCGGCTGCTCTCCTACGGCTGTTGCAACAAGCGGTGGAGCAGCCGGCACTTGTGGGCTGCAGGACTGTGCCTCAGTGGCCAGTGGCCTCTGAAGGAAGCGGTGAAGACTCCCAGCTGCTCTAGCAACCCTGGCACTCGCTGCGCCAGCCTTGCTGGGAAGCCCAGCCGGCTGCGCCCCCCCTGCCATTTGAAGCAGACCCTCGGCTCCAGGCTTGTGCCCCCAAGCAGCCCTTCGCCAGTGCCTCCTCTGTACCTAGACGACGACGGGCTCCCCTTCCCCACAGACGTCATCCAGCACAGGCTGCGGCAGATTGAAGCCACCTACAAGCAGGAGGTCGAGCAGTTGCGCAGGCAGGTGCGGGAGCTGCAGCTGAGGCTCGACGCCCGTCATTGCTACGCCCCTCCCGCTGAGCCACAGGTGGACTACGAAGACGACTTTGTAAGTGGCAGCCACGGGGCCCTGCCAGGGGTCCTCCAGCTTGGCGTTTCCCAGACGGGCGCCCTGCAGATGTGCTGAGCTGCCGATTCCAGAAGGAGCGGCAGTGCAACACATCTGGAGGGCACCAGGTGAGAGAAGGCAGCAAGCTTCCCCCAGGGAAGACCTGCCTGGAGCTGAAGGATTAAGAGACTGAAAGGCCACCCACTCTGCATGCAGCAGCCGCCCACACAGACACCGCTGCCTCAGAGCTGGTCTGTGCCGTCCAGAAGGGAGCATGGCGGAAGCTTTTGTTTCCATCAGTAGTACCCAGGGAGGTCCCTGCGCCGCAGACAAGGCACGGGGGCTGTCCGATCGCATCCCCATGGGCCTGGGGCTCTGCTCCTTTTCCGTTTCTGTTTTCCAGCAGGGACATTCCAGAAGCCCCATCACCCTCCTGTTCTGTGGGTGGAGAGGGAGCCTAGCCTAGCTGGGGCGCAACTGCTTGGCCTGCAGAAGGTACCTACTTTCTTCATCTTGGTCTCCATGTGTCACACATTATGGGTGCTGCACCTGTGCAGCGCCTGTCGCCGGGAAGATTTAATAGCTTTAACGGTTTTTGGTGGGAACTCCGCCCCCGCCCTGTAGTATAAATGGTCGACGTGCCCACCCTTTCTCCAGTCTGCTTGTGACTGCCGTTCGCCGTACCTCAGGCTTTTTTCTCTTTGCTTGTACTTCTCAGTCATAATCTTTTAAATCTTGAACTTATCTTTTCCCCTTAATTTCCACTTTGCAACTTACAGCCTTTATCCCAGTTTGCCTCTTACTGAGCCCATACCCTTATTTCTTGTTCTTTCCCCCCGCTCCCCTTACCCCTTCCAAAAAATGAAATGAAATGAACCCTCTATCGTCCTCCTCTTCCATAAACTATCTCTATTTGCTGTTTCTTCTCTCTTCCTTGATGGCACAGCAGGCGGCATTCCGTAAGTGCTCTCTGTGTGGAGCCAAAATGTCTCCCACTGATCCTCATGATCCGTGTCTTCTCTGCCTTGGAGGAAGGGCGCAGAACCAATAAATGCAGCCGCTGCCACTCGTTCACCAGGCAGGCTCACAAAAATCGTGAGAATAGGCTGCGAAAAATGTTATGGGACCAAGGACTGGTTGCCATGAAGTAGGTCTCGGCCAAGGCAAGCTCTTCCGTGGCTTCGGGACCGCTGAAATCTGCCCTCACTCAAAATCTGCCCATCTGAAGGGGATCTTGTCAGCAAGGATGGAAAGCGCTTCTCTAATTCTCCTCCCCGTAAACATAAGGAGGAGAGGAAGCATGTTGGGTCTAACGAGTCATCAAAGCCTAAGCATCCTAAGGACAAACCCGACAAATTTGAGCGCCAGCACAAAAAGCATGACAAGGTACCTTGCTCTGAGCCAACTGCTGCACCGATCTCGGTCCTGGCCAGAACTCCAAGCCTCCAGTCAGTTATGCTGGTGACATCTCCATTGTCAACTCCGCAGATTACAACCTCGCCGCACTCCAGTCCCAATCTTTTGGCAAGAGCTTCGATCTCGGATGGAGAGATCTGTGAATCTCCTCCCCAGACCAGAGGGACCAGAACGTGCACCTGCAAGATCACCCACTCCTGTGCCTGCAGCCCAATCATCTCTGGAGCGATCTCTGAGGGCACCTCAGTGCCCGTCGTCCCTCTTACCACCCCCCCTTCCTCACCACAGCCTTTGCTTCGATCGGCCTTATCCATGCGATTACTGTTCCCTGTATGGATGGCTACTACCCATGGCCACAAATGCATCCCCATCATTCCACCCCTCACTTGGTGTCAAGGGACACCCTGTCAACTTCTGCTGCAGCGCTCACCCGTCCACCGTCTCCTGACAGGTCCTCGTCCAGTTCGCCTTACATACTGGATTCACATTTGGAGGATTTTCAACAAGCCTCCACATCTCCTGACGCTGTTACCTCTACCCAAGGTCCTGGATCTCCGGGCGACCTTCTCTGAGCTACTCTCGCTATCTCTCACTAGAGATAGATATCCAACAGCGAATAGAAGCCAATCAAGACAACATTTATGACATCGTTCATTAAGAGGATTCATCGCCCATCACTCTGCCTTTTATTACTACTCTTCGACAGGCAATGACTGATACTTGGCAGGTCCTGAACCACCCACATCCCACCTCCAGGCGTCTAGAGGTGATGTATAAGGTTTGAGAGCAAGACATCCTGCTCCTCAAACACCCTCAGCTGAATTCGATAGTGTTCGAGTCCTCCCAAGAGAGATAAACTAAGGGACATTCAACTCTGGCTGACAAGGAGGGCAGAAAAATTGACATGATGTCTCGCTGCATCTACGCCGCAATGGCACTTGGTCTTGAATTTATGAGGCCACCATGGCCCATTGTCAGTTCTTTCTGTGGCAGAAGATCAAGTCCCTCGCTACATTCCTCCCGGACCAGCAAAGGGAACTGACCCGCTTATTCATTCGGGAGGCAATGCAGCTTTCCAGACAACAGCTGAACATGGTGAGACATCATGTCGATTGTGACTCCAGGGCTCTTGTTGGTGCCGTTGCACTTCGTCTCCATGCCTGGCTGAGATCCAGTAATCTGTCACAGGAGACTCAACTACATGTTAAGAACATGCCATTTGATGACTCCTATTGTTTAATGCGAAGACGAATAACAAGCCTGAGAACTTCCAGAAAGCTCATCTGACCACACGTCACATGGAAAATCCTTCCCAGCAGAGACGTAAGTGGCCGTGGAACAGATCCCAATACCGGTACCAGCCCTACCATCAACCATACCCTACGGGACATCAACAGTATGGCCAGAGACAAAGGTAAAATGCACCTCGATACCAACAACCCAGGTGCTGACCAGAGGCTGATGGGACGTATGAACCATTCCTCATTCCTCCAGTCCACCTTCCCCTCTCCCTTTTGGGGACTGGCTGCAAAGCCGACTCTCCATCTGGGAGTCCATCACATCTGACAGGTGAGTTCTTACCATTGCAGAGCACGGATATAAAATCAAGTTTGAGACCGTGCTGCCTTCCAGCACAATCCGGTGTACAGCAGCCCCTCCAGCCCTCCTGGAAGAAGTCACCAAACTGCTTTGTAAGGGAGCAATTTGTAAACTTCATCACTCCGAGTGGCTGCACAGTTTCTACTCCAGATACTTTACAATACTGAAACGAGATGGTGGACTACACCCCATTCTAGACTTATGTAGGGTCAATAAATATATTAAAACAAAAAAAAAAATCAGAATGACCACACTCCAAAATATATTCCCGTTGCTCAGGAGAGAGGATTGGTTCGCATCCCTGGACTTGAAAGATGCCTGCTTTCACATCAGCATCCATCCTACTCACAGGCACCTCCTTTAGTTCACTGTCGGTACTGATGCCTTTGAATATAACGTGCTCCCCTTCAGATTCGCTACCACCCCAAGAGTCTTCACCAAGTGCATGGCTCCCATTTGTGCCCATCTCTGGGGATGACCGTTTCGCCTCCATCAATACTACCTGTTCCCTGCTAGATCATCTTGGACTCTGTTAATACTGAAAAATCCTGCCTCGTTCCTTCTCAGGTCATCAACTTCATCGGAGCACGCCTGGATTCTCTATGCACACGAGCCTTCCTCCCTTGGGACCGACAGGGAAGACTGCTTTCTTTCATCCAAGGGATCACTGCCCAACAGACTATCCCTGCACACTCGATCGAACAAGTGCTTGGTCATTTGACGTCCACAGTTTCAGTGGTGCCGAATGTGAGACCGTGAATGAGACCTTTGCAGCTCTGGTTCAATTGCAATTTCCACTCAGACTGCGATCGACCAAACCAGCTACTACAACCTCCACACTCGGTCCTTCAGACCTTGTCCTAGTGGACTATCGATACCAATGTCTCCTGCGGAGTCCCATTCCATGCACTGGAACTGACCGTGACTCTTCATACCGACGCTTCCCTGAATGGATGCGGTGCCCACTGTGCGTCTCTTCGGACCCAAAGCACCTGGCATGGACATGAGACCACCAGGCATATCAACTACCTGGAATTACTGGCGGTCTTCAAAGCACTATGTTCCTTCCAGACCATCCTTCAAGAACACACGGTCCAGATAGCATCGGACAACGTTGTGACCGTTTTCTACATAAATAAACAGGGCGGTCCGAAGTCAGTACTGTTGGCACACCTTGCCCTTCACATGGGGAACTGGTGCATTGCCCACAGGATTACTCCTCTAGCAGTCCATCTCACAGGCACCGACAACGAGGAAGCTGACTCCCTTAGCAGACACATGTTGACAACGCACAAGTGGGAGCTAGATCGACAAATTTGTCTACATCTGGTTCAACTCTGGGGAACACCAGACATAGACTTGTTTGCAACTCATGACAACTCCGTCTGCAGGAAATACTGCTCCCGAGAGGGAATCAGCCCAGATTTGATCGGGGCTGTACTCATGGTTTTTTGGGAGAACAAATTCTTCTACGTATTCCCACCAGTACCACTAATAAAAAGGAGCATAGCCAAAATCCGACAAAACCACGCTCATGGAATTCTCATCATCCTTGGTTGCCCCGTCAGTTGTGGTTCCCCACTCTTCTCCCAGCCATCACATAAATTTCTTCACCTACCTCAAGTTTCTCATCTTCTCACTCAGGAACACGGTGCCGTACAACATCCCGACCTACATTCTCTAAACCTCACTGCCTGGCTCGTTCATTGACCGTTTCTCCTGCATCGATACCGACAGTTTCTTCAGATTCGATATATGCACCTTCTTCAGGATCAATGCCTCCTTCTTGTACAGCTCTATCTACATCGTCAAGAGTTTTCCAGACTAATATTTCCTTCGGTATCAACATTGGTACCAACGTCTTCCTCGGACCTGACCAGCTTTCATCCTGATATACAGTTTATTCTTCAGTTTATTCTTACTTACTTACTTATTTATTTCGTCCCCTTGCTATATAGCCTCGGGATGGCGCTACAACCAACCACACAACGTGCTTATAATGCCAAATGGAAGCATTTCACCTCTTCTGCTGCTGCTAACCAATTTCTACCTCAATCTGCTACCATCGAGAACATCCTACAATTTCTACTCTCGTTACACCGTGGGAGTCTTAAACTGTCCTCCATTAAAAGTGTACATTGCAGCTATCTCGCATTGGAGGTTCCTCTGCATTCTCGCATTACCTTGTACGTCAATTCCTTCATGGACTACGAAACCTTTAACCACCGACCCGATCAGTAGTCCCGACATGGAGCCTCTCTGTCGTCCTACAGGCTCTCACAAAGGCACCATTTGAACCACTAACTGCAACGAATCTCCGCCTTCTCTCTTGGAAAACAGCTTTTTTAGTAGTGATTACTTCAGCCAGAAGAGCCAATGTACTGTGTGCCCTCCGTGTTCACCCTCCATACCTAAACTTCCACAAGGAGAAAGTAGTCTTGCACACCGATCCAGCCTTCCTGCCCAAAGTTGCTACTCCTTTTCACCTTAATCAGGACATTGCGCTACTGGCCTGTTTCCCTACTCTGTCGACACCGCTCTGTCGCTCTCTACATAGCCTGGACGTCCAGCGATGTTTAGCCTTCTCTCGATCCCAAACTGAGTCATTTAGGAAAACCAAACTCAGAACACAACAAGGGAGCTCCTGTCAGTACTCAAAGACTTTCGAAATGGATCATCGAGACGATTGAACTGGCTTACTGCCTTTCAGAATTGGACTTACCCATTACTCCAAAAGGACACTCCACAAGAGCTGTCGCTGCTTCGTCTGCCCTCTGTGCAGGCATCCCTTTGCCGGGTATCTGCAACGCAGCCACATGGTCCACTCGCCCACTTTCACGAAGCACTACTGCTTGGACGTCAAGGCCGGACAGGACTGCTCCTTCGGCCACGCTGTCCTCTCCACAGTTCTCCAGTGACGACACCGTCCCACCAGCTTGTTAATCACCCGTAATGTGTGATGCACAGAGACCACGGTGAAGAAAGGCAGGTTGCGTACCTGTAGCTGTTCTTCTTCAAGTGGTCATCCGTGCATTCACACAACCCGCCCACTGGCCCCACTCGGTGTCGGTGACTGGGTATTCTATACCTCTACCTATACTATATATACGTATGTATATATATTCTTTTCCCCTTATGTGCCGGATTCGATACCAGCCGGCTCCACTCGGTGGCGAACGGACGGCCTTCAGCTGACCGGGGAAAGGGCGGGCACTCCGGCCATTTATACTATGGCGGGGGAGGGCGCAGTGTTCCCACCAAAACCGTGAATGCTAGTAAATCTTCCCGGCAACAGGCACTGTGCAGGCGCAGCACCCACAATGCTGGAATGCGCTGATGACCACTTGAAGAACGACGGCTGCAGGTAAGCGTCCTGCCTTTGCTCCCTGGCATGAAAGGAATCAAAGAGCAGATGATGGGGAGGCCCTGACACCCTGCGAGCTGCTGCCAGTCAAGCTTGGCAGTACTGGGCGTAGGTGGGCAAAATACCTGACGCAGTAAAAGGCAGTTTTAAGTGATTCCAAGGAGGTTACTCTTCCTGGTTCTCCTTGGGGAGTCTGAGACTCAGGAGAGAGGTAGGAATACATCTGGGGACATAAAGGCAAACCAACGACTGTCATGGCCCTCCTTGCAGACTTGCCTCAAGGAATCGGATGGCAGTGAAAATGAGGATTTCTACTCTGATCACAGTGAAGAGTGCCTATCCGAAGCCAGCTGGGAGCCAGTTGATAAAAGGGAAACGGAGGTATGTTGCTGCCTTGGTGGTTGGCTTAACACAAGGAGCTGCTGTGGCTTCTCAGTGGGCTGTGCTACCACAAATGGTGGTGGTGTGTGATGCAGGACAAGCACCGCCTTCCACTGCTTTTTTCTCTTGTTGCCCCATCCACCTCCCGTTAAGCCAAATAAAGAGCATCTCATGCTGTCACACTCTTCTCAGAAGAACAATGCTCACTGGTGCATTCAGTTGCCTGCCAGCCTCTGAGCAGCCAGAATGGGATCATGCAGGATCCTATTAGCAGTATGATGCGCCTCCTCCCTCCTTGTCCCGAGGAACAAATCGTTCTCTGATGTGCTATCAGGGATTGAAGACTTTTCCTAGATGAAACGTTAGCCTTTCACAACCTTTCATTGTTATTCAGCTCCCCACTGAAATATTTCCTGATTATCGGACACCTTTATGAAAAGTCCCAAGTGCTTAGAACACAAACTCTAACCATATCTTCCAAATATGCCTAGAGACAATGACCTAACACTGATTTTTCTGCAGGTCACGCGCTGGGTTCCAGACCACATGGCCTCACACTGCTTTAACTGTGACTGTGAGTTCTGGCTAGCCAAACGTAGGCATCACTGCAGGTAATGCTCAGTAATTGCCACAACCCTGCCCTTCTGAATGTCTGTTTTCCTTGCCTCCCCCCCACCCAAAAAACAACATCCTGAGTTTCTGCGGTAGACAAAATACTGGCTAGGAGGGATTTGTTAGGAATGGAACTACATGAATCTTCCGTTTTGCGGGGAGAGGGAGGGAATTTCTCTAGGACAACCCAGCACATTTGCATTTGTCCCAAGTTTTATTCAGCTACAGTTAGCAGTGAAATTGCCGTCTACTTGCTTAGATACTTGGGGATTAATATATGCTTTTTGTTGGGAAAGGAATGGGCAAAAATATTCTTTAGGCTTAGAAAAGAAAAGGAAACGCTGCAACCCCAATGTAATGTTTTTGCAAAGAAAAAGGGTGAAAAAGTGGAAAATCATTAAAAACAATGATTCTTGCCCTTTGCTGCACTACAAGACATGGTGTGCTTGCTCTCATTGGATCACAGTGTGTCTTGAAACACTGTGGCCCCAGAGAACTGTGTAAAGATTAGTACTGAGGACACTAAGATTGTAGTATTAACGTCCAAAAGAAAATAATAATTGTGCAAACAGTGACATACATAAGGGACAGACATATAATTTTATGAGGGTAAAACAATTGAGTGCTGTAAAAGGGACTGGAATGGGGGCAAAATGAGAGGTGTGGAGGAATAGTAATCCTTGTGCAAGATCGAGTGACCAAGTAGCAGCATCCACGCCCATGTGGTAGCCCAGCTTCTGTAGATGGATATATAAACATACAAAGTTTGTTCTTCTGTTTCATCCAAGATGGGTGGTAGCTGTCCCTGGCCTTTCCTGACTTTATGGCCTAAGAGATGGTGAGGGTTCAGCCTGAGGCATTCCTTATGAGCAACATTTGTTCTGCCACTGAACTGTGGGCGCTCCCCACACTCTCTGGAAGTCACTGTTCTTGCATCCCCACTCACAAGGAAAAATAGAGTATGGAAGTCATAGGATTCAAAGTTAATTCAGGTTTTATTTTCATTGCCCCAACCCCACCAGGGCTTGTTCCTGCAGCCACAGGGACCAAATTTGTCATCTTGTCAGCACCAGGTTAAAGATGGCCTTCTTTTCTGAGGCCTTTTAAAGATTTACCTGGCCACCCAGAGGTTTGAGGGGGATTACCCATTCCACGTGTTTTGTCAAGTATTTTTTGCTATTGTCTGTTCCAGGTGCTTAAACCTTTTTAATGTTTTTTCTGATTTTACATTTTTATTGTCTATTTTTATTGACTGTTGTAAACCTCCCAGAGAGAGACTGGGGCAGTACAGAAATGAAATAATCAACAACAACAATACACTTAGAATTTGCAGTTAGAAACATAGAAACAGAGGGAGTCAGAAGGGGTCTCCCAGGCCATCTAGTTTGACCCCCGGCTCCAGCCAGCTCCACTCACGACATGCCCATCATGTGCATGTCCAGCCTATCTTTGAACACCCGCACCGATGGGGCCTCAACCACCTCCCGTGGAAGCCCATTCCACACCCTCGGGGTCCCAACTGTCAGCAAGTGCTTCCTGAAATCTAAATTGAACCTTGGTTCCCTGAGAGAACAGGTCTCTCCCCACCTCCGTGTGACATCCTCTCACACACCTGTGTGTCGCCAACAGACCCCCTCAGAGTCTCCTCTTCTCCATTGTCTAATCCATCCATGCCAGGCAAGAGCCCATGTCACATAATGGTTCACGTGTTGGACAGGGAATGGGAGATTTGGATTCTAGTCTTCACTCAGCCATGTCATCGCCTGGGGAATTTCAAGACAGTCACAGGTTTTCAAGCTATTAATAAATAAATAAATAAATAAATATCCTACTTCACATGGGTGTTCTAAGGATAAAATGGAGAAGAGGACATACATGCTGACACAGGCTCCTTAACGGGGAAAGTGTAAGATATAAATGCAATAATTAAAAAAATCAAACACACTTCTAAGACAGGGTATTGAACCTTGAATTTCAGCCTAGAACCAGTATCAGTTTTAGAATGGTTCTCAAAGAAACCGCTCCAATGATGGGCAGGGCTGGGGCCAACGTACAAAAAATCTCAGCCTGCATGGCTCAAAGCTCTTGGTTTTGCTAAGCCTTGGGAGAGGGATTTAAGCTTTCCAGAATGAGGGGGAAACTTATCAAAACCAGTCGATTGGTAGTTATGGGAAAGAGGGTGGGTACAAGGGAGGGAGGCCTTGTTCTCAAGGGTATCCCAGCAGGCCAGATTTGGCTCTGGGCCTGAGGTTCCTCACCTCTATTCTGGATGTTCCTAGAAGTGCTGAATCTCTTTGGTCCCCCTCTTAAGACCTGATCTTCCCTGTGACCACCCACTTGGGCCCCAGGGTCACTGCTGTCCTTACGTTGTGCTTTTGCCTCGCTAGGAATTGTGGGAACGTGTTCTGCGCTGGCTGTTGCCACCTGAAGCTGCCTATTCCTGACCAGCAGCTCTATGACCCAGTCCTCGTCTGTAACTCCTGCTACGACCACATCCAGATGTCCCGTGCCAGGGAACTTTTGAGCCAGCATCTGAAGAAGCCCATTGCCACAGCTTCCAGTTGAATGCCAGCAGAGGGAACCTGTCAGAGCTTGGCCTTTTTTCACCTTGCGGACTGGAAGGACAGGGCTGCGTCTGAGGAGGTTGGTAGCACAGCACTTGATCACCAAGCCTTGTATGCACTGTCGGCGATTCCCCTCCCACTTGGTGCCCTGTGTATTGGAGATGAGGAAATTGGATTAAAGAGTGTGATACGGCCCACTTTACGGTACTGTTTCTGGTCTGAAGAGCCGAGGCTAAGCTGGAGACCACTGTGTCTTTCTTCAGAGAGTTGGCGAGCGATGGAGCACAGGTAATTGCGCTGTTCCAAGAAGCAGCAGACAGGCATGATCAGAATCAGATCCTTTCTTCCCCTACCTCACTAAGGCAGACAGGCAGGCAGAATTGTGCAAGAGAGAAGAATACAGGCCCAGCGCTTGCTCTGGCTGTGGTAGACACGCTTCAGTTGTGTTCAGCTTGCCAGCCACTTCCCAGGATGGCTCAAGACCAGCTGTGGCGCCAGAAGCAGGAGTGGGGGGTCCCTTGTCAAGCGGAGGCTGCGTCTGCACCTGCCCCACGTCCCTTCAGGGAACGGACACTCAGTCCTGGCAGCTGGGCTCGTGTGCGTGGAAAGCAGAGTTCAGTTTGGCTTGCTGCACTTCCTGCCCACTGTGGGTTCCGGGCAGCTGGTTCCCAGCCGGTGTCCTCATAGAACAGACCCCTTGAGCCTCCTTGGATCCATGCCACAGTGTGTGTTCCCTTCCCTCATGCTGCACTCGTGCTTCCCTATTTCTAGTCGCTCTTTATCCTGAAAACCTTGTGCCTGGAAGGCAGGCTGGGTGGGTTTTCTTTACCTCCTGGAATGTGCTGTTTAGTGTGCTTGAGGGTTTCAGTCCAAAATGCTGCTAATGTTATTTCTCTGCACTTAAACTATAGCCTGGAGAATGAAATGGGGGGATGCCAGTTTCGTAAATGGGAGACGGGGAACACTGGCAAAAGGAGTCTTTTCTGTCCCTGTTCAGGAAGCTTCAAGGGATAATTTAGACTGTGATTATCATCATCATTGCAAGAATGCTTCCCTGTTCATTCTGGCATCAAATAAAACACCGCTTGGAAATGGCTGTCCTGATTTATGGTTGCTGCACTGTAGCAACTGTAGCAGTTACCTTGTCCTAATACTTTCCCTTCCGCCCAAACAAGCTCCAAATCATTTGTAGGGGTGTAGGGGGAGTGAGATGCTGCTGAAATTTCCACAGACCTTCATGACTGATGTCCATGGCCACTTTATCCTGAAGCTGGGAATGACAGAATTCCGAGAGGTTCTAGGCAGATCCAGGAGCCCTCTTATATCCCACGTAGGAAGGGTGTGCCAGGCTTCTTTCTTGAGAACCTGAGAATACAGTTCCTCTCAGTCTTGCCAGTGGTCAGTTCCTGGCTGCTTTTTAAAACTTACAGCGGTTCTGTCTGCCATGGTGTTACCTTCCACATTTCAGCCTGCTTTTGGTCATATGCCTAAAAGCCCCGTCTTTCTCTGACACAGGATTACCTTGCATTGTCCTCCAGCTTCTTTCAGGGAGCAAAAACCTCATATTGGTAAATAGATTGCAGTTTCTGATTTTGCCATACTCTGAACATTGTCTGTACAAAATGATGTAAGTAGGGAAGGAATGTTCATAATGGGTTCCATTTTCAGCTCATTTGCACAGTCATAAAACAAAAACAAAAAAAATTGAAAATGGAGAGAGAGAGAAATGAAGAGCATGGTGGGCCTTCAAGTCAGCCATGGTTAATCAAAACTGCTTTCAGCTCTCATGAATTTGTGTCACTGTCTTCAGGCAAAAAAATAAAAAATATACCAACTCCAAATTCAGATCAATAGCTTTGTGACAAACAATGTGCTGTAAGAAATTCAATACAGTTGAATAAAATCTCTATATTAGTGCTGCTTTGTTTGGCCTTGTTATTTAGTCTTGACTGAAGAGTCTTTCTCCTCTGTTAGCTGTTGGTTGCTCCTGTGCTGTGCCTTAGAGGATGTCATCCAAGAAGGCTGGAGATAGATAAGTTTGAAAACTCAAAGCATGGCTTACGTGAAACCATTGACTCATTAGTACACATTATGTCCATTTTCTCTATGTCCTGCAAGCATAACTGGCATTTGTAACTTTCTTTACATTCATTCTGTTCTACTCCCCAGAGCAAGGCACCAGAAAGTTCTAGCTCTCACTTGGGATGGGGGCTGCTGCTTTACTGGGCTGCAGAGCGGAAGCCTAACCCCCCTGGCCCAAGCTGCTGCGTCTTTCTTTCCATCCTGGCTTTTAAGCATCAGAAGGAAGCCTGGGGGACCAGGCTGGCTGTTCTCTCTGGATGGCGTTGTGGTTAAAATGGGATGGGGAGAAAACACGCTTTCTGTTCCACCTGAGCGCCCTGCACATCACACCGCTTCATTCTCAGCAGCTTGTACCTCTGGATGTCAAGCAACAGTGGTTGTGTCTTTTTTCCTAGTGTTAAGATACAGGATGCTAATTGCCCAAACTCTCATCTCATCTCTGACCTACCACTGCAAAAACCACAGCCGCTCTTATTTCATCCCTCTGCAGTACAGGCTGATCCTTGTAAAAGAGGACTTTAAAAGTTCAGTAGCGTTGCTATTTGATTATAGCAGTGCTTTGTGTTTGGAAAGTTTCTGGTTAAATCCCTGGCTTCTCTGGTAGAACTAGAAAAGAGAATGTTTATTTTTTCAGTGGGTCTCATACGTGGAAGAGTCCCAGTTCAGAAAAGTTCCAAGTTTACTGCTCTTGTACTGCAAGGGATGGACAACCTGTGGCCCCAAAGGTGTTGGTGCACTGCACCCCTACTTCATGTTGTACCATTATATATGCTAGCTAGGCAGATGGGAGTTGCAGTCCACCAACACTGTCCAGTGCAGGGCTATGGCTTGGCAGCATGGTGGCTTAAATCCCCACATATACATCCCAGGTACAAAGGCTGATTGCCGTACCACATCATTTGCTGAGGGAAAAGGATTAGCGTGGGAGAAGGCACTAGCGTGGCTCCCCATAATGACCGAAAAACCCTTGGCTCAGCCCTGTTCGAAGTTGCAATGGGAGAAAAGAAAGGGGCGTCCACAGCAGCGGTAGCAGATGCAGCGAAGTGGACGGGGATTGGGCTACTAGGCACGATCTGCTCCGTTTGACCAGGCAGGGCCGCTGTCCCATTTGCTGGGGCCCCACGAATATGCCTCACTGCATGCAGACAGTTCGGGATTTGTCACCTGGGCAAAGCAAGGAATGCCAAGCGGGGGGGAAAGGAGCCGACTGCGTAGGCGTCTTTTTCTGGTCCTGCTGCCCCTTCCCCACTGCCCAAGCTGCTCTCCGCACCCTTCTGTGAGACCTGCTCTTGATCGTCCTGGTAAACGAGACGGTGCCGAGTGCCTTTGCGCTGGTCAGCTGGAATGGCATGGGACATGCTGGGGCGAGCTTTTGTGTGACTACCAGCCCAACCCTCTCAGGAAGGGAGCAGGATGGGCCTCAGGAGCTCGCTGCCATCATGCCCGTGCCATTGCGGGGATCCAGACTGGGGGAAACGGCCAGTGGGGGAGCTCTGAGTGGCAAGAGGGTTGCAGAAAAAGGCCTTGGAGGCCGCATGCGGCTCATGGGCCTCATGTTGAACTACCCCATTCTAGCATGCTTCATCCAGCCTGATCAGCTGGGGCATGCTGGGAGTTGTAGGCCTTTTTCTATCTAAACATGCTTACGACTACTTCCCGAGAGAATCAGAAGCAAAACTTTTTACTTTAAGTGCCACCCAATAGCCTGGCAGGAAGCAGCTAACAATATACAGTACAAGTAGGGAGGAAATCTGTTGCAGTGGAGTGAGCACTTCTAATCAGTTTTTAAAATTCAGGTTTCGTGAAGAGGATGGTTTTTGCCTGGCGCCGAAATTAGAGACGGCACCAGGGGACTTTTTAGGAAGCCCATTCCAGAGGTTGGGGCAGCCACTGAGAAGGCCCTTAGTTTCTCAGAAGATAGGTCAAGATCACACACACTTTTCAGATGCAAAACCTCTAGGAGAGAATCTGTAAATCTTGTTCTTATGTGGTATCTCTGTCTATTAAAAACATTTCTGTGTGTGTTTCGATTCAAGGAAAGCCGCCTTCATTGATTACAGCAAATGCAAAAGGGAGAAGAACATGGGTCTTAATTCAAATAAATCTCTTAAACCTCTTCATAAATCTCTGAAAATCTTTTATGTGAACGGGTGCTTTCACAAACAATTGCCAACTCGAAGCATGCGAGACAGGTTTGCCCATTGCTCTCAGTGGAAGGAAAAGGGCCCTTTATACACTTGCTGGCACACATTCATTAGCGTGCAAGAACTGCACCGAATTCTTGGCACAAGAGCCCCCGAGCCGCAGCCTTTCGCAGCCAGGTGCTGCCAGGGTGTCCCAGGTGTGGCACCACAACAGGTGCGGGAAGACAGCAGGCCTGCTTAGCGACATTCGCCGGCCTCGCAGCGCTCCAATGGGAAGGAAGCTGCTCCTGACTATATGTTGCAGAGGAGGAAAAAGCTGCCTCTGCCCATATACAGAGTGCAGACACATCATGCAGTCTCCAAGGCCACGTTCAGATGAGCTGTTGATCTGGGTTTTTCTAATCCACAGGACAAAAGGCTTTCATTAAATGGGGCTGGGGGAAGCCTGTGAAGTAACTTCTTGTACTCTTTAAAAAACACTTTCTTAGTCCTTGAGGGAAGCCCTTCCGGTAAATCTTACTACTGAAAAAAGAAACAAAGGACTGCCGCCCCGAGGGGCTGGGAAGAGACCAGTTTGCCGGCTCCGTGGTTTTTAAAACACTTTCCCCATTAACGGGGGGCTTTGTGGGGGAGGCCGATGAGGCGGTTTTGTTTTGAACCCCCTTTTACAGAAGACTTCAATGAGGCCATTCGATCGATCGATCTCTGCTTCTGACAAGCAACCTCCCCTCATCTCACCGGAGCGGAGGTCTACGAAGCATTTTAGGATTATGATTGATTACCCATCAACGGGGCGCCTTGGCGGGCAATCTGAAAATGTGTTTTCCTCACTGCAAGGGAGGCCTGGAGGAGCGGGGTGCCGTGAGGTAAGGTGATTTTTAAAAGGACTGTGAACGCGCGGGCGCTGGGCAGCCCCCGCGGCAGCGCGGCTTCTTTAAGCCACCTCCAGCACCGGGGACCGGGGATTGTTATTACTCCCGATCATTTTACTTCGACATCGCCCACGGCCGGATCTCCGAGCGGCGGGACGCCCGAGGCGCCCTCACGGGAGCTCGGTGGGGGCGGGAAACTCCCCCGTTTGCACCGCGCGCCCTCCTCCGGAGAACTCGTTTGGGCGCCCCGCGCGTGGAGGCCACGCCGCCGCCGCCGCCGCCGCCGCCCCGCCGCGTGCTCTCCGCGCGGCGCCGAGCTCCAGGCCGCAGGCGCTGCTCGGCGCCGCCGCCGCCTTTTGGCGGGAGAGGCCGCGGCCGGCCGGCCGGGCGGCGATGATTGACGGCGGCGTCCGTTGGCGAGGCGCGGGCCGGCCTCGCGCCGCGCTTCCACCGTCCGTTGGGCCCTGAGGCGCGGAGGAGCAGCAGCCCCGCCGGGCGGCCGCGCGTGTGGACGGCCCAGCCAGCCGGCCGCCCATGGAGGACGCGCTGCTGTCGGCGGCGCCCATCAACCCCAACAACTTCCCGGCCAAGCTGTGGCGCCTGGTGA